TGTCGGACTGCGTGGCTACTTGTAGACCCCTAATTTTGCCCGGCCTCTCAAAAGAAAAAGCTAGAGGAACTTCACCCGAAGATGGAGTCCATCCGGCTTCCCAAAAACGAGGAAACCTCCCGCAACCAATACAAAGATCGCTCGTCTACACGATAACGAACAAAGGAGACTTCCTACATGAAGATAAAGCTTCAACGGACACCTATCGGCATCAACAGGCCGTCACAAACATAACAAGTGGTCCCAAACACAACAGGTGGTCCCAAACGCAACAGGTGGTCCCAAACGCAACAGGTGGTCCCAAACACAACAGGTGGTCCCAAACACAACAGGTGGTCCCAAACGCAACAGGTGGTCCCAAACACAACAGGTGGTCCCAAACGCAACAGGTGGTCCCAAACACAACAGGTGGTCCCAAAACGCGAAAACTGGCCAGAACAGGTTGAGACGGCCGTCCCAAGTTGGGACGGCCGTCCCAACCCTCCGGATTCGGCTGGGACGCGCGTCCCGAAGTTGGGACGGCCGTCCCAAGGCCAATTTCAAGTGGGACGGCCGTCCCGAGTCCCCCGGTGGTCTCGCCCGTGTAAAAATGACATTTGGGACGGCCATCCCAGCCCGTACGACCGTCCCAACCCGGACGGTGGTCCCAAAATGCGCCAACTGCGAAAACTATAAATAGGAGACTCATTTGCCACTTTTTCGGACCACGTACACTCCGCAGAGCTCCGAAACACTTTCAAAAACTCGGAGCACTTGTCTACTTCTCCCCTTTCTCGAATGATCTTTCCGATTGTCTTAAATAGGTAATAATCGGTTAAGGAATTATATTCCGGCATTTGATTCTTCTTTAAATTTTTAGTGGAGTCGATCTTATATTGGTGAGGAGAGTCTCGTAGTAGAGAGGGGTTGCCAAAACGCATCCTCACAGTTCGAGATTCTCAATACAAAGCTTGCTACGGAGGTTCTTTTCAATTCTCTTCTCTTTTATTGCTTTATTTATTTTTTTATTTAGCTTTATTTACTGTTTGTGCCATGTAGAATAAAATCATGTAGATAGCCATTTTTATATCTCTTTTATGGCTTTATTTAGCTTTATCATGTAGATAGCCATTTTAATATTATAAAATAGGGTAATCGCGTAATTTCCCGAAGTCTTCTCTTAAAATGAATTGATCTGTCATAGGGAACCCGAAAGGGGCGTTGTGGGGTGCTAACACCTTCCCCACACGTAACTAACTCCCTTACCCAACTCTGGTTATAATGGCCAAGTTTGGTTTTTCATTAAAATCAATACCTTTTATCCTTTTCCAATGTTTATGGTCAAAACATTGGTGGCGACTCCATAAGAACCCCTTTTCGAAAACCTTTTAAAACAAATACGCGAGTCTAAACCATCTTTTCACGACCGCTCGCATAAACGTTCCCAGACGTCCTCCGACGTCGAAAAGGGACGGCGGCGACACTACTTAGCTTACAAAGAACCTCAAACCAGGCTAGCTAAAAGGCTGTCCGAGATAAAAAATGGCTTTATGCGAAAGGATTATTTAGCGTCCCTTATCTCTTCTGTCGGACTGCGTGGCTACTTAGCTTACAAAGAACCTGAAACCAGGCTAGCTAATAGGCAGGCTGTCCGAGATAAGGGTGTTTATTGCAAAAGAATGTTTTTGTGATTTTTCTGTTGTTTGGTTATGCTATGCAACAGACAAATGCAACAAACGTATGCACACACAATTCGATCATCCACGAACAGGCGAGAAGTCGTTTTAATCACGAGGTAGGGTTTTCCTGCAGAAAAGTACTTTGGCGAAGGTAGGTTCTAGCTGTTCTCACCAAGGCTAAGGCCCCCAAGGTGCCCCAATTATAGGGTCCTCACTCTCCAGCCTTCCGACCATGCTTAGCACTAAGGCCATAGTCAATCTTTGTGCCAAAAGAGAAAGGTTATCACCTTGAGTGGTGGTTTCCGATCACACTGGTGGGCACAAGGCCATCACTACAGCGAACCGTACCTGCCACCCACTCCCTATGGTTTTCTCACTTGCCCCCGAGTATAGAGGGAACTGTAGTGTGCAAGGGTTTGTGTACAGTTTGTATTTCAAACAATTGCGTAAGTATAAACAAGCAACAGTTATTAAAGCCAAGCAATAAAACATGTTATAATACAAGATAGGGTAAAAGCGTAATTTTCTTGGTTTATTTATTTTAGGCTGGCCCATCACTAAATGGGATCAACTCTCTAGACTTCCCCAGTGGAGTCGCCATTTGTCGCTGCCGTCAAAATGAGGCGGTCAGAGCGACGCGATGGTTCCGACTTTCGTGTTTTTATTGGTGTGGTTACAACGCCTTTAGGTTGTTCGATAACCGGGCTGAACCTAAAGGCGAGGTTTTCGAAAGAGCGCTCTTGGGTTGTCCGATAACCGGGCTAACCCAAGAACTAATTTTTGAAGGGTTCATCTGGAGTCGCCACCGATGTTTTTACCGAAAACATCGGAAAATGAGTGAAAAGGTGTTGGTTTTCGAAAAACCAACTTTGGTCATTAGAACCAGAGTTGGGTAAGGGAATTAGTTACGTGTAAAGGAAGTGTTAGTTCATTTACGACGCCCCTTTCGGGTTCCCTATGATAGGCCAGCTATTCTAAGTACATAAATCGATGAAAAATTCGCTTTTACCCTTTATTTGCGGATTTTAAATTTATGACTACATGGCCCTAGTGTCTATTGCGTAATTTAAAATAAGACAGTAAAAGATAGAGAGAGAAAGTATGAACCTCTGAAGCAAGCTTTCTATTAATTCTTTGAGAATTAGGGCGTTTTTTGGCAGCCCTTCGCTCTTTACAATGCCGAAAAAATCTCAAAAAACGCTACAAAAACTCTCAAAAACTCCGGAAATGCTTCGGAGGGGTTCTAGAAAGAGAATTTGAAGAAAAGTCTAGAGAGAAGGTGGAAGAACTGTGTGAAATGAGGGGAATGACGCTCCTATTTATAAGGATTCGCGCCTGTCAGGTCGAGACGGGCCGTCTCGTCTGACAAGGTCGAGACGGCCGTCTCGCCTTGCAAGAATGGCGAGACGGCCGTCTCGCCAAACGGGGACGGCCGTCTCGCCACCTTCGTAAGGCGAGACGGCCGTCTCGACCTTAAAAGGCGAAAAACCCTTATTTACATGCAAAAAATCCCTCCTATCCTAGTATGGGGCCTAATAGTCTCTCCTAATGGCTTCTTAGGCTTCATCCATCTTCAAAAAGGAGGTCTTTTGGTCTTTATTATGAGACTGGGCAAGATTTGGGGTCTACACTGGAAAATCTATTAAATGTATGAGGAATCTATGTTTACAAGGTTTTCTTATGAATTTCATGTTTGAGGAATCAATGTAAATGATTTGAGTAGGTGACCTTAATATTGATAGGTTAATTGATGTTATGAATTTGTCTTAGTCATTATACAAAGGAGGGAAAAGGAAGTAAGTTAATCTTAAGTTTTCATAATTCATATTTTCTAAATATATTTTATATTTTTTACTGTTTGTTTTCAATCCAAACGTTTATGAAAAACTCATTGTACGTTAATACACTTAGTAAGCATATGATTCGGAGTTTTCGGTGAAATCGTTCTCGCAGGATCGACTTTTATTTAATTGAAATAATATACTGCGATTGATAATATTGATACACTTGTCAAAAGACTGAGTAAAAGAAATGATACGAAAATAAATAAATAAAGTGATGAAACAAAAATAAAATTGAATAAATAAAGAAAATGGAACAAATCTTGCTCTAAATCAAATTGAATTGATAATTATAGTATTGTTTGTTCAAGAATTATATGAACATATTTATCCCGGAAAGAGAACAACTAAAAAAATCAAAAACTATGCAGAACCCAACTGCACTTTCAACTTTTATTAAGCTGCACCCTTCTTCTTTCTTAGTTGACTTGACTTTTACTCTTATTGATGCTATGTCCTTCCAGAGCGGATAGAAGAGAATATATAGGTTGATCATAATCACGATAAACTTCTTTTACAGAGTATATGGTACATTTAGACTAAAATTGGAGGAAAAAATTATTGAAAAAAATTAAAGTAGATTTTCTAAAAATGGATATAAAGTGGATTAAGAAAAGTGATAGATGTTTCTTAAAGAATGTGTTAATCATTTAAATAAATGTGTAATTAACTTATTCATGTCCGATTATTGATCTGAGTTGTAAATTTATGTTGATAATATCCAATTGGAATAAAGTACAATTAATTTTCCATGAACTTAATATTATGTTCAATTTATTTCTAATATATAAAAACATCTAAATAAATCATAACACCATAGATTATTTCAAGAAAAAATAATATTAGATGTATATTATTTGTTGATAATAACTTATTAAATATGCATGTCAAAATTTATCTATTTAATTTATTAAACTACATTCGTAATCTATTAAATTATAATATAATCAATTAATATTTTATATTAATCTATTAAGTACACGTGTATCTTTCATAAATATATGATAAATTAATTAAATAATTATAAAATTAACCGATTAATTTGACATTTTTCGATTTAAAACCAACAACGTCTACATATTTACTTAAGATAGTTAACCAAGCATTCATTTAGTTATTAAGTTTATTTTGTTAGGGTGTTCTTATCCATAAAAAGACAATAAGACTTATTTTTATTTAATAAAATAATAATAACTTGTTTTTATACATATTAAAAACATAAATAAGGTTATTATTTGTAAATGTTTTAAAAGACCAACTCAATCTTTTTCTTATGTCTTCTCACATTAACATTAAAATAATGATTTAATTATATTTTTTATATTTTCGATTTTCTAAAATAATAAAAAATAATTCAACTAGATATATGTACAACTTAAAAAAAAAAAACATAATATATTATTTCATGTTATTCATGAGATAGATAGTACATCAACTTTATTAATAAGATACACATAAGTTTATCAACTTTATTAATAAGATACACATAAGATTATTTCATTTATTCATCATAAGCTGAGACATTTGGCCTAGGTTCAAAATCCTTTATAAAGTTTTTCCTTTCTTTAGAATAAATATCATCGTTATCGTAAGCTGAAACATTAGGTCTTGGTTCAAAATCTTTCATAACTTCCTTCTTTTCCTTTGTATCAATTTCATTGTTACCATAAGCTGAAACATTAGGTCGTGGCTCAAAATCTTTCACGACTTTTTTCTTTTCCTTCACATCAACTTCATCGTTGTCATAAGCAGAAACATTAGGTCTTGGTTCAAAATCTTTCATAACTTCCTTCTTTTTCTTTGTATCAATTTCGTTGTCACCATAAGCTGAAATATTAGGTCTTGGCTCAAAATCTTTCACAACTTTCTTCTTTTCCTCTATGTCAACTTCATCGTTGCTATAAGCAGAAACATTAGGTCTTGGTTCAAAATCTTTTTTGACTTTTTTCTCTTCCTTTACATCAACCTCATTGTTACCATAAACCAAAACATTAGGTCTCGGTTCAAAATATTTCACAACTTGATTATTTTTCTCCATATTAACTTTGTTGTCACCATAAGCTGAAATATTAGATCTTGACTCAAAATTGTTTATGACTTTCTTCTTTTCTGTCAAATCAACCTCATTATCATCATAAGCAGAAACATTAGGTCTTGGCTCAAAATCTTTCATCATTTTCTTTTTTTCCTCACAATCAATATCATTATCACCATAGGCCGAAACATTAGGTCTTGGTTCAAAATCTTTTACAACTTTCTTCTTTGACTTAACATCAATATTGTTGTCAGCATAAGCTGAAACATTTGGTCTTGGATTAAGGTCTTTTACAACTTTTTTTCCTTCATTAACATAAATATGACCATCTTTATAAGTTGGAAGATTTGATTTTGGTTCAAAATCTTCTCCCATGACAACTTGAGTGTTTGTAGTCACAGATTCATCACAATTATCCTTACGATGTTTGTGATCTTTCACAACCATTTCCCAATATTCTCCTCCAATTTTTCTTGATTTCACATTTGTTATAACCTTCACATATATAGTAAAAAAACAAGAAAAAAATTGTTATTTTAAGAAAGTAAATTATATTATGTTACTATTTTAATAAATAAATAAAATATATTCAACTAAGAAAATTATTATATTATTTAAATCATAATTGGACAAAATAAATAATGTAATATTTAAAAGTAAAAATAGATTAAATTAACACTACCTAATTAAAGGATTGAATTATTAAAAACTTATATAAAATTATAGATATTATATATCACTTTAATATAATCTTGTCTTCTTAGTTTTTTTTTTATTTATGTTCACTTGTTATATTAATGTGTTTATAATTCTATAATATCTTTGTACAGGTAAATCAACTAATAGTCCCGTAGAAAAAATCAATGTAAAACAAACTACAAATCATGAAAACTACAAGTACAAATGTGTGAATTATACATTAATAAGGTAAATCTAACTTTTATTGCATTATATGAGTTTATTTCTAAGGTTTATGTTTTTTCCAGTAAATTATTTAAAAGTTTATTTTGCAATAAAACTTAGGTACAATTTTATTGTTCAAAAGCTTATATGTTTGACTCATTAGGTTAAAAACATGCTTAAAACTTTATAATATTAAAAATGTATAATTTGAGTATATAATAAAATATAAATATAATAATAGTACAAAAAAATTATTTTCTTTAAAAAAAACGGGATTTAAATTTAAAAGTCTTTTTAAAGTACATAAAGTTGGACTGTTTTATTAAATTAAAGTCTATACAAGTCTTTATCTAATCTATTTCTTAAGATATTTATTTAGCTTGATTAAGCCACATTAGTGAGGTTGTAATTCTTATGGGAAGGCTTGACGATTTATGTGGTAAAAAGAAATTCAAACTTTAAACCAAATATGGTTGAACTAGGTTATTAAATTCAAAGTGTTTAATACAATTATATGTTGAAATAACTGATAATGTAACATACATTATGATATATATATTTACATCATCTTAATTTTAAAGTCATGAAATTGTTATTTATAGGTCAATTATTTTAATTATATATTTACTAAGTTTTTTTAACCAAGTTTGAACATGTTGATTGTTACAATAGTTAAAAGCCTTAAGATAAAATGGAAAAATAATATAAGAAACAGTATAAAAAGTTGAAATGACAGTGGAGTGGAACAAGCAAATAGTAATTGTAAGGTATGAGAAATGAAAACATACCAGGAACAGGAAGAGAAGGGAAAGCAGAAGAAGACCAGATCTCATTTTGTAGACTCAGAGCAAAGTTTTCTTTTGTTTTGTGTCACTCTCTACAAGTATCTTGCATGGATCATTATTTAATCAATCCACGTCAAATTCTTTCAAAGTTGTATACAAATCCAAACACTTCTTATTTATATATTTATTTATTACTACTCTTTTTTTCCTAATTTTTAAACAATATACACAAATATTTATACTATTATAGCATTATAATTAAATTCTGTTTATTTGTGAGACATATATACAAACATATTTACATAAAATTTCCATACACATTTTTAAAGAGAATAAAAAAATTCAACTGTTATAAGCTTAAGTTAACTTTACAGATAAATTAGTTTGTAAATTTTTTTATTTTTTATTTTTTTAATTCATATAAGTTAATTCTAATTTATATAAAAAAAATGTTAAAAACATTTTTAAACATATCAATACCAATCACTTTTAGCTTTTTTCAGCAGGGACAGTCACTAGTGCAACCTTTATTAGTTTAATTATATAACATCTATTATTCATTACCTAATTTTTTCTCACCTATTAATTTATTAGTCACGGAAACAACAACTGCCACTAAAAGAAACTTTAAATAATAATTCACAGGCTTATTCAATAAAATGAATTAGACTCCTTAATAATTATATAACATTTGGGGTAATGAAAATTACATTCTTACCTACCACAATAAAATTAATTTTTTTAATTGTTTGTTTTTTATAATATTTGTATCATTATATAAAATAACTTTTTCATATTATTCTTTTTATTATCTATAAAATTATATTATTCATTATTAGGTAAAATATAATTAATTTTATTATAATAAAATTAAAAAAAATATTTATATAAAAAAAATGTTATCAAGAATGTAGATATAACATATGACCTGTATGAAAACTGGAAATAAAATATGTGATAAAAAATACACATGAAAAAGTAAAAAATAAATTAAAAATCATTATTTAAAGAATCAGTAATATAAAAATATGAACACATATTTTATAAATAAATTAAAAATGTATAACTTATCTAAAATTGATTTATATTATTAATTTTCACAAGAAAATAATAATATCTCAATCATATAATTGATCAGATTAAGTATTTCATTATTCAATTATATGTGAATTAACATTAATTCCTTATTAAAATTTATCTTTAATTGGATGCTGAAATTTGATAATCTATGTTAAAATTAGTCTTATTTATTATATAATAATAATAATAATAATTTAGCAGATAACTTTTTTTAATAGAATGGGGTGAATGGAACTATTGAAGTGATGTTTAATGAGATGTCATATATTACTTAATCTTGGTTTCATTAGAATAAATTTTGAAATAATATACAGTGACTGTAGCTTGTTTTCATTATATAATGAAGAATTTAACTCTGAAAATCTATTAATCACAGTGGTGCACCTAACCAAATAATATATCCACGCAGCAGCCGGAGGCTGAAGAAAAAATTGATGGATCAGTTCAAATTTTTTTAAGGAAAAAGTTACTGGCCATATATATATATATATATATATATATATATATATATATATATATATATATATATATATATATATATATATATATATATATAAAATTACAAATTGTATATATACATTTTTTTTAACTAGTGTCATATTTTTCAGATAATATAATTAAGATCAATTATCATATTTAAAATATTATTTATTTTAAAATATAATAAAGATTAATTTTATGTTTGAGATATAATTTATTTTAAAAAAATTATCAATTACAATTTTATCTCTAACAATATTATCATGATAAATTTGATGTATATTATTGTTTTTCACGATTTTGTTATCTCTTTAATAATATATATATATATATATATATATATATATATATATATAAATAAAGTGAAATTATTTTGTTATAGTTATTATATTAAAAACTATAAAATAATATTTCAAAATTATCAAGATTTATATATTTTCCAGTACATAAAAAAAAATAACATAAACTCGTAAATTATATATGTAGAATTATTGGATTTTAATATAATTGAAAAAGAAGGAAGTTGGTATTCCATTTATAGTTAGAATAAAAAAGTCAAGTTGCCTCCATTATTAGACAAAACAAACAACTTTTGAAAAGAAGACAAGATTCACGGAAAAAATCTGATCCAGGTGGACCTTCGTGTAATTAAGATACGAAGATAATACGTGGATCATGTCATGTGACATTAATTTTAAAATATTCTCAACATTATCAATAACTATATTAAGGATTCATTTTTTAAACCGATAAAAAAAAATTTAAAAGTTTCATATATGATATATAATTAGTAAAGATCATTGCTTGTGATAATGAACGTGATTATATGTATTAATTAGTGTACAAATGATATCAATTTATAGATAAAATAAATCATGTTAAGATCATTATCAATGACAATGAATAATCAGTTTAATATCATAGTTAAAAACTATGATTATATATTTTTTATGATAAATAATTTTCACTTTGAATATTTCTATATTTAGTAGAGTCCAATAAGGTCACGAGGCCCAAGACAGTCTTTCAATCAAGCATTCCCTATTTTCAGAATAATAGCTTTTTTTCTTTTCTTTTCTTTTTGCCACATATTTTAAAATTTATCTAATTATATACATTACTCGAAAATATTTAAAAATTTTCACCTTTGTGTTTAATATAAGTAATTCCTCAATAATTACTTTCAATTATATCTGGATACGTCATTCAAAAAATAGCTTCAACAAATTACAAAGATTATTGTTTTAAAAAATAAAAACTAAAAAAAATATTATTTAAAAAATCACTTATTTTTATTTTAGTGTTGTTGGAATGAAACAATTTATAATTACTTCTTAAAAAACATAAAATATAAATTTATCATATCATATTATTTTTAAGTAAGTTATTGTTAATTTTATTTTTATAAAAAAATTAATAAATTTTAAATATTTTTTCATTTTTTATAGAGAATTCTTGTAATGGAATGAAAATTTATTTGAAACAAATATTTAAGAATAAAAATAAATATTTTATTATTAATTTTATATATAAATTATTTATATAAATAATTTTTAAAAACTTTTAAATAATTTTTTTAAGTATTTCATATATATGATTTAAAATAAAATATTTATTTTTAATTTTAAACAAAGTTTTAAAAGTATTATTAATTTTAATATCTCAAGAAACAAGTTTTATTAGTGAAAGAAAGAAAGCATTTTAAGCTATTATGCACTAACAAAATCTTATTTGTTATTTAATGATGTATTATATCATTGAATACGTTTGATAATGAAATCCTTCAAATAACATTATTATTAAAAGATAGTATTTGTAGTAGAATATAGAAAAAATTAAAAGAAGGCTAAGGTTTTCAGACAGAGATGGAAGGGGAAGAGTGATTAAAAAAATATATAATTTTCAAGACAAGGAAAGATGAGATGGAAGAGTTGTAAAAAGAAAAAGACCACAAATAAACAAGTACCTAGAAATAATAATAATAATAATAATAATAATAATAATAATAATAATAATAATAATAATAAAAACAAATAGAAAAAGCAACCTAACAAAAATCTTGCAATGGTCGAATTGATGATAAGGTGAATTATTTGTGTCCAAGTGTCATGACAGATTTATTGGTCGGACATCAAAATCTCCCATGATTTTGCCTGTTCACGGAATCCGCCAAAAACATGGCACTTAAAAACAGAATAGCTACCTTTCCGGTGTAAATTGTTAATTGGATTATACTAAAAGTTGTGCACTAGATTCAACTACTACGCTGATTCAATTTGTTGTCGCCAAGTAATTGTTGCATCCATGCATGATTGATCCACTCAACCCCACATTTTCAGCAACTAAAATCTTCATATCATGCTATCCCCAGAAAGAAAAAAAGAAAAAAAAGTGTTTATGCCAATTTGGTACAGGAATGGTGTGCATTATATGCAGTCAACCAGTTCGAAAATGATTTATCAGATATTAGGACCCTTACACGAACCAAGTGGATTCTATATTTCAACACGTTTATTAGTATTCCTTGCTCAGTCCAAGATAAACTAAACTCGTAATTGGGAAAGGATTCAATAATATATACAAGCAAAAATGTTCATAGGCATAAAGTTTATGTCTTGGATCCTCTTTATTTATCTTCTAGTAACCCTGGTATACTAAATGTTTAATTTTTCTTGTTCCTCTGTTTCTTTGTTGGTTAACTTTCTTTAGTTAAGAAGCTGGCAGAAACAGTTTGTAAGTAATATTTTTTCTTTGCCCTTTCCTAATTTCTTTGTTGCAGTGTTCCTATGGATGCCGAGCCAGGGAATTGGGTGGAACAGAAAACAAATTCTTGGAAGTTGCACTTGAAGAGGGTCACAACTCCTCTGGCAATATTCAAGATCATGCCATGGATCACCCAAATAAGTTAGGCCACAGTGCTCCTCCAAAACTAGACACTGAGCATAACCATATGGACCCTTCACTAATGGTGTTCTTTACTTTGAAAGATTTAAGGGTAGGGAAGAGAATGGTGATTCATTTTCCCAAGAGAGATCCATCAAACTCCCCCAAGTTCTGGCCCAAAGAAGAAGCTGATTCGGTCCCTTTCTCGTCTGACCAACTGCCATACCTTCTCAAACTCTTCTCTTTCTCTCCAAACTCTGCCCAAGCCACGGCCATGGAGAACACCCTAAGGGAATGTGAGAGCAAACCCATCAAAGGAGAGGTCAAGTTCTGTGCCAACTCTTTAGAATCCATGCTTGACTTTACACAAAGCATTCTAGGGGTGACATCAGAACTCCAAGTTCTTTCCACCTTGCACCAAACCAAGTCAAGTGTCACTTTCCAGAACTACACTATCCTAGAAACCCTCATGGAAATCCCTGCTCCCAAGATGGTGGCTTGTCACACCATGCCTTACCCTTATGCTGTTTTTTATTGTCATAGCCAAGAAAGTGAGAATAGGGTATATAGGGTGTCACTAGCTGGAGAAAATGGAGATAGAGTAGAAGCCACGGTTGTTTGTCACTTAGATACCTCCCAATGGGCACCTAGTCATGTTTCATTTCAGGTGCTTGGGATTACTCCCGGTACCTCTCCTGTGTGTCACTTCTTCCCTGCAGATCATCTCATTTGGGTCCCCAAACACCAAGCTCACGGTTCTTCAAGCATGTGAAGATAATTAGTAGTTTTCTCACATATTTATGTATCCCATTATGCTACTGAGAAAATGTACTCTCTGCAGAGCTTAATAGCGTACAATTTCTTACATAAATAAACAAGAGTCTCTGCCTCCTAATTTCATCATAATTTTGAATCCTGACTTTCTTACTTGGTTCACTTCTATTAATACGTGTAGAGTGCGTTCAGACTACTGTTTGAAAGGCTAAAAACGTTCATATGCACATGTCTGAGTCAGGAACTGGAGAAGCAACTTCTTTTGTTAAACTGTTTTTTCCAAAACACACCCTTAAATATGTTAGTCCACCAAACTAACCTAGGGGAACACACTGCTTTGTTCGCAATTCAAATTACTGCCCCGTTTTCCCCGTTAACCACATACAACGTTAACGAGTATTATTTATATGAAAAACCCCAACATAATAATATACTACAAAAGTTCAGCAGTATAGAAATTAATAATCACGAAGAGATTGCGTTGCTCTGTTACGAGGTTTTTGATATAATAATATAAATAATAAACATTAAACATGCATAACAAATTGCTTAATAGTTATCCTATAATAAATAAATATATTTAGTTTAAATTATAAAGTATAAAAACATTTTCCAACAGTTAGGCCAGGAACAGGATGTTAAGTTTGCTTGCTGTGAAGTTTGAAGAAGAAAGAGAAAGGGGAAATAAGTTAAATAATAAAATATTTCAGTAATAGATTATATGGAATTAATTTTGTGTTTATATATTATTCTTATAAATCAAACCTAATTAATGAAAATATGAATTGTAAACAGAATTTTTATGAATCGGTCATCCTATTTTTCTTAAAATTACTACAAAATATTTATATGACCATGATTATCATGTAAGTTTTCTTAAGATAGGACTATAATGAATCTTCTATGGTAGATATATTTTAAGTGAAAATTAGTTTAGATAATCTAATTAGTTTGTACTGTGTATTATTTGTAGTGATCTGTTTATATTTACTAGTACAATTGTTGGGTATAGAATAGAAGAAGAAAAGCTAAAAATATTTGATTAGGTAATTGTATTCCATCAAACATGGGCCGAAATAAAACTGAATGGGCTTCAACATAAAGCCCAATACCGATGAAAAGCAAAAGCAATTTTGGTTTTTGTGAAACAAAATGTTTAGATTGTGTTACAAATTTATAAGAATTTTATTGAAGAGCAAGTAAGAATATTCTCTGATGCTTATGTTATGATGTCGACTATAGACATAAACAAATGAACGTGTGGCTGCCAAATATGTTCTACATCTCCACTAGTGTTACAAAATACACATTTCAATGGAATACATGCATCACATATGAATCACATGTGATAAGATTTATTCAAATATTTCTATATGAAAATTAAAATTGGTAATAATGCACATCTTGCTTTTATTGAAATAATACAAAGGGTAAAATTGGGAAGATATGTAAAAGTGGGAGATAGTGAAAAGGAATAATATATTTATCGTGTTCAATAAACGTGATGGTTTAATAGATTTAATGTTGTTGTCGGAAAGAAGGCCAAAACTACACGAAAGAGTATAGGTCATGTAATATCTTAACGAAAGTAAAGAGGTAGTATTTTATTAAGCCAAAAAGTCTTACTTTGAAAAAAGATTAAGGTCAAAAACAATCTATGAAATCCTTCTTTTCTTAGCCACGAAGTACCGAAGATGTACGTGGTGTTATCATTTCTTAATTTCTTTTTCTTTTTTTCAGGTAAAATAAACTCATCGGGGGAAGAAGACAATGAAGAAGAGTTGATTCTGCACGCACCATTTTAGTGGGAAAACTACTATACTCGTAAACACATCTTCTCATTTAGAATATGGAAATTTTATATTCTAATAATTTTATTAATATTTTACTACAATTATACTCTATAGACATGCATAGCTGTATTTATGTAATATGACACATTTCTCTTTTAAGAATATAAATATATCACTTTTTGAAATCATTTTATTAAAATGTTTTCACTTATCCAATAAATACATTTTTTTTTCATTGATACAAACAGAAGAAAAAAAAAGTGAATACTTCGTTAAAAAAATAAAACTTAGTCAAATTAAATTTTGTTATTATTGTGGAACCAACAAGTTTTTTTTCTTTCTAATTAAATGATTGTAAAAGAAATTGCTTTTATTTAACTTTTATCCTAGTCAAAATGACATTATCTATTTTTTATTAATTATATTCTTATTATTTCTACTTTCCAATTAATTTTCATATATGAATGTATTATGATATATATATATATATATATATATATATATATATATATATATATATATATATATATAAAATAAAATAGACAATTTTATAAATGTTTCATTATAAGATGAATAATTTCATTACAAGTTTATAGCATCCATCAATCTGGAAATTTTCTCAAGGACTAGGTATGTATTTAATAGTGGGAGGAAAAACTATTATTTAAAAAAAAAGGCAATGGGAGAGGAAAAGTTGCTGAAGAGTTCATGAGGAGAAAACGATTCTGACATTAAATTCAGCAGACAAAAATGTAAATGCAGCGGGTTAAAGGAAGGATCACTACTGGAAAACCACAAAGATTAAAGCTACATTAGTCACTAAAGGTTCAAACTTTTAACAACATAAAATTTTTGAAACAGCAACTGCATAATTAACTTCCTGCTAGATAAAACTCAAACACCAACCACTAACCCAACAAAACATAACATGCATCACAGTCTACTCTACCGCCCACATTTCAACTCTTAATTCTTCAGCTTCTGCTTCTGCTTCTGCTTCTGCTTCATGGACACAACATGGGTGTGATACAATATGACATTAGGCTTTACATTGAAGCCCCTGATAAAACGATCCTTCCCTGCTTCTGACACTTGTGAATCTCCAACAAGGTCTTTGATTGCTTCTGGCATAGGTTGCTCCTTCATCATCTCCTTCCAATACCCTCCCAGGTCTTTTCTTGCACAGCTCAAATCAGCAACCTATTCACAAAAACGAGGCTTTCCATGAGTGAAAACTTAAAGGGTCGTGTACAGCAACTGTTAAACTCATGGAACAAGGAAACTGAGTACAGATATTGCTTGAGTTTGGCAAAAGTATAAAATGAAATTATGAAATAGAACTTTGGTAGAGCAGATTTGAGATTGAAGGGGTTACCAGGAGAAGAGAGAGGACTAAGAAAACAGCAAAATTGGACTTCATGTTTACGCCAAGCTGTGCCGAGTTGCAGCCACAAGTGACCAACAATCGACACATATCTTTATATCATGTCATCATAGCAGTTGAAAAAAGAAAAATCAAGTACATGTAAATTAATAGGTTATTATAACTACCCACATGATTGACAAATAATATTATATTCTAAACATAATAAAAAAAATGATAACAAATTTATATTCTTAGAAAGCATTTCATACAAAAATGTTAAATCCTTAAATAAATAAATAAATAAAAACTACTTTCATTTTTTAATCTACTTGAATCATTTGCTCCGATTATTAATTTTTATTCTTTGAATTTTTCTCTATTTAGAATAAAGTATTGGCTTATTATTTTCCTTAATTAAATTGTTAATTTGAAGGTGGAGATTAAGGTAAAGTACCTAGGCAACTTGAAGAACCCAAATTCGATTTCCGATGTTACACGCCACCCAAGACAAAAGAAAAAAGTTTTGACTGAAACAAGAAAGAATGAAAAAGATGTTCATTGGTTGGATATCCAAAAATCACATCTCATTAAACCAAACTAGATAAGGTTGGATTTTTCCTTTTTTGTGAAAACTAACTCAAATTAATCTTCCTCTCTTTTAAATTGATAGTATAATTTCTATATATGATTTGAAATTTAAATTAAATTGATTAAATTAAAATTACTCTATTTAGTCATTTTATTAATTAAATATTTTTTAAATATTAAATTATTCAAAATAATTAATATATTATATTTCTTTAAAATATTTTAAAAATCTTCAAAAATATTTTTAAATTATAAGATATTTTTATAGATTTGTAACTCAATTAAAGTAAAAAATAGTTGAAATTTAGATTAAATTTAGTAAAAAATATAAAAATTAATTTAATCTAAATCAATATTTTTTTTATTTGAGTTGATGATTGATCTATACAACTTTACTTATGTAACAACCCATAAATTCTACTTAAAATTTTTTCAATAAATAAAGGAAGAAAATAATTTTTTCACCTAAGAGAGGTATAATAGTTCAGTTTACATATCCAGAATAGTTGAAAAGAAGAAAAGAAAAGAAAATATCACACATCAAAAGTCCTAATTACACAAATGTTTTACACCTAATTACACAACACAAAATAACTCTTTCAAATTTAGGAGATCTCTACTTCATTTCTCAAATCACTGGGTCTTACTACCACCTGTAGAAGATTTGGAATATGCTCACGTGTATAACAGTGTAACATTGCAGGATCCCAAAAGATCAAGCACGCAACAAAAGCAAGAGTAAGCTACCATTTGATTAAATATGTAGAACAGTGTAACATTGCAAACAACACTTATTAATTCACAAGCATCCTAAAACTAGACTCACCGGAGAGTCTAGCATTTTACAATCACAACACACAACAAGACTGACGCTTTCCGGAAAACTATATGGAATTCAGACCAGTAAGGTAGACACCTGATGAGGAATATTTGGGGTCCCAGACCCTTAAAATTTCATGGCCCCAGGCCTATAATGTCATTTTTTTTTCTAACCTCTCATCAGAGCAACACATGCATAGGATTGACACTATGCTGTGTCTCCATCGACTTCCCACCACAGATGTCTTCGTCTATATGACTAGGAACATCTTGGAAGTCTGGATACCCTATTACGCCTATCCATAATTCCATACACATTATTCTATACAGTACATCAAATCTATCATTTAACAACTATTTCATACACACTATTCTACTCAGGGTTTCTAGAATCAAACCAACATCATGCAGTTCAAAATGTCCAGTCCAACATTTAAATTCTCAACTACTATGCAATCATAATTCACTTAAAACGGTACATCATTTCTCCTTCAAACCACACAAACCAACCATACAATTTAGAAATTCAATGATACAAAGATATCTATTTCAAAACAATTTACACTGCAAGATTTCCATAATGCTCACAATATCATATCACATATAGCACGTATATATATCACAAGCATACTCTCATATACATATATCATGTATATATATATCACAAGCATACTCTCATATCACATATAACACGTATATATGTCACAAGCATCTTCTCATATCACATATAAGCACGTATATATATATATATATATATATATATATATATATATATATATATATATATATATACCACAATCATACTCTCATATCACATATAACACGTATATATATCACAAACATACTCTCATATTACATATAGCACGTATATATATATATCACAATCATACTCTCATATCACATATAGCACGTATATATATCACAATCATACTCTCATATCACATATAGCACGTATATATATCACAAACATACTCATCATTCACTTTATTAAACTTTTCATCAATACAATACAACCAATAAAAATTAAAGAAGCCTCCCTTACCTGAGGGTGATGTTACACGTCAACCTAATTCCAATAAAACCTTAGGAATGCCAAAACACCTAACTTGTACCGTTCTCCCCCAATTTGGAAAACCCTAAAACGAAATTGAAGTAATAAACAAAATTAAACCCGAAAACATGAAATTGGGGAGTGATAGAGTAAGAGGAAACATTTAATTCCACAATTAATTTCTTAAATTCTCAAAACCCCAAATTTTAACTAGCAAAAACCCTAAAATTCAAACTTACTGGAACGAAATTCTAATCGGTGGGTCTTCTGCTATTCTCCGCCGTGAACACAACGGCGGTCTCAGATTCTTGATCGGGGAAGAAGAAAGTCTTGATCTGTAGAAGAGAAAGTAGAACTGAGTTATAGAGATAGGGAATATGTTTGGACGAAGAAGAAAACCTGATTTTCTCTCTCTTCTTCTTTTTGCTTTTATTTTAATTACAGTATATTACAACTTAATCCAATTTGTGTCGTAATTCAATTTGTGTATATCTTTAACAATAAGGGCTTGTAGAGTCTTTTTATAAAATTATATTAATTTATATATTTACAAAAATTTTAAATGTTAAATTTAATTTGTAATTCTCAAATACAGTATATATTAATAATATCACTAAGTTACTTATTTTTTTTATTTTATTAAAGCAATTTATATTATATTTTAAGCGGTAAACACGTGTCAGGGTTTACAAACTTGAATGATGTTAAACTATTGTTAATTAAATCAATCACTGTTCAATATATAGGATAGGAGAGTGAGAAGTTCAACTGAGGAAAAGAAAAATAGCATGAGAATATATTAAGAAATGTAATTATTATGAAAAAAAAAAAAAAGACAAGTGAAATAGAAAAATGAGAATATATTTATAATAATCCACCAGAAAACATATGTTTTTTTAAATAATTGCAATTAATAAGTGAATGAATTTTTCCCATGATCGAAACCTTTCAGTTTGCTTGTGCAAAGTTTCTAATTATTACGTTAATTTCTTTGGTTACAACATGCTTTAATCTAATATAATAACATAAAATATTTTTCTTCAAGATTTACGATTTTTAATAACATCTTAAAATGAGTATTAAAGATTTAAGTTTTCTCTCATCTTTTCTAAAAGGTCTAACCATTAAAAAAAATATCTATTATGTTTAATATTAATTTAGTTTTTTAAAGTAAATCAATATTACATTTTAATTAATACTATTAAATTGTCTAAAAATATCATAATCATATTCATATTCATATTCATCAATGTGATGTGGCTGATATAAATAATATTAATATATTTGATATAAATAGTTCAGTTCAAATCAGTAATGTAATAATGTTATTTCAAGTCTATCAGGATTACATTTTTAATGACGTTATAAATTATTAAATTACTTTTAAAAATAAATAAGACTAATACGATAATAAAAGTAATGTTACAATAAATTTATTAAAAAAAAACAATGAGATGGAAAAAAAAAATCATCCAAAAATAATAATATTTTTTATTTTCCTCCAATCAAAACAGCGTGCAATGGTCACTGCTGCTTTTAATATGATTCTTAATTTAATGCTGTCATTGTCATTAAATTATGCATGAATATTAAATTAAATTAAATCTTTATTAAGCCCTTACAAAGAATGTATTAAAAAGGAATTTTGTATTATTCTTTTGAAATATCGCTTACTGACAAAATTATCCAATATTCAACCAATGGGTCACACGTGTTTGCAAAAAGTCATAACATTTTGTCATGATATATATTCTTCTATTTTTATATATATAAATATTTTACCATTTATGTAAATCAGCTAGCGCAAGCCCACGGTATAAAGCAAAAGCAAACAAATTGTGTCTTTGCTGAATCGTAATATGATATCAAAATATTTTGAGTGTCGTTTATTATAATATAAATTTTTTATTTTAACTCTGTAAATATAATTTATATATCTATTAATTAATTTATTTAATGTAAGTAGGTTAAAATGTAAGCGGTTACAAGATGAATTGTGTTACTTGATGTCTGACATATATTTTGAAAGACAAAGTGTTGAAAGCAAAAAATGTGTGGGTTATTTAGAAAGTCAACTTGGAACGTGCATCACTAAGAAAATGAAGGTAATGGTGATAAATAAATGAATAAATAAAGAGATAAAAATGTAGTTGCGGCACTTAGTTTTGTTCCCTAGCAGAGGTTCATGCACGGCATATCTATTCAGCATCTCCTTCTCTTCTACAACTTTTTTTTCATATCTATCTCCCAAAGTCAACTATATTTCTGCATCACCAGCCCTACTTCTTGTAATAATAATCATAACAATTGTTTGTTTCAAAAACGGGTTTCCATCACTTTAAATTCTTAATTCATACTGTTACATAAACATGGGAGAAGAAGACACAATGTTTCGCTGGACAACAAATTAAATAAACACACCTTCCCATATATATATCCAACTTCACCACAAAAACCAAATCAAGTTTCTTTCTTCAACGAAATAAGTGATGTTGAAGTCATTCAAAAGAATAAAGCACACTCCATTTATATCTTAAACTCAAATTGAAGTAAAATTTTCCGTAAACATTCCCTTAGATAGTGGAAGAAAGCATGGTTATGCCTTTCCCATTTTCTACATGCCACTTTTTCTTTTTCTTTTTGGGTGTGTGGCATTTCCTAGATTAACTGGAGGGAATATCTTGTGGTGGTGAAAACAAAGTGTTGTGTTGATGGCGTGCGTGAGTGAATTTGATACGATAAGGTCAAAAGGAGTTTGGAGAAATGCGATGGACGAAAAGTGAATAGTTTGGTAGGGTGAGACTTTGAAAAGGCTTAATTAATGATGATGGTGTGTTTGCTTGGCACTTTAATTGGTTTGGAACAGGTTTTGAGTTCCGTTTAAAGGAGAGCCATTAAGAAAAGTTTAGTGGGTTGTGAAAGGTGGCGCAGAATGAACATTTTTGTCAACGTTCTTGGTTTCCCACTACACATCACACTCCCAATAGTCAAAACAATTCATCATCACATCACTCACCATCATCCCTACAAACCTCACAATCTCATATACTACTAATTCTAGTCAAAAGTTGGAATTTTTCACAAATAATCTTTTTTTTTTTTTAAATATGTTCATTCTCTTGTTTATTATAAAATTATTAAAAGTTAATCTCATCTTTTAATTTCTTCTCAACTAAGCAAACAAATAAATATATGCGTATAAACATTAAGTAAGAACAATAACACCTTATACTCGATATATTTATTTATCTTTTTCACTCGTGCTTCGATTTCTTCACAACTAAGGAAACAAATTATCAGTATGTGAAAACATTAATTAAGAAAGAAAAAGACCTTTGTTATATGTGATTGTGTAATTAACACCTCTCATTAAATTTTAATCGGATGACTTAAGTGTGTGACATATATGTTTGACGAAGAATAAATGGTGATAATGTATTTAATATCAATGTTAACTCGAGCACGTTATTATTTACATTAGTATATATATGCGTATAATCTCAATATTATATCAGACTATGCTAATTAATATAATCAACGAAACCTAACGAGATCAATTAAAGCTTGCGAGGAGCACAAATGAAGAGTGAAATTCTTACAATTTTATGATTTTAAAATTTTTTAGTTAAAATTTAATTTTTTAAATATAATTTTTGAAATTAATTATTGCTGTAATTGTTATATATATATATATATATATATATATATATATATATATATATTAAAAATAATAATGGGAAAAAATAGCCGTAATAAATTACAGATAGTTTTATAATGACTAATTTTGAAAAATAAATAACTAATACAACAACATTGACATATTAATTTAAAATCTATGTTTTTGTTCAAGATAGATAACTACGATGATGACGTTTCAGGTGGTGGAACAGTTCCACGTCCCCGAACCGTGGCTACTCCCATGTGCAACACCTGTCCTCGGATTTGCACCACTTGCTCCCTCAATCTGCCACCACCGTTCCTTCACGCAACCACCATGGATGATGTTCTGTCTCGTCTGTTTTTTTTTTGTTTTTTTATATAATCTTTATAACCCCAATTGAATCTAATAAGCGTTCATTTATTTTTGTCCACGTTATTTTCCCTTTTTTTCAATTGGTAGGTTGACGGTGATTAGTTTTATTAATGTTGTTAATCACTCATTTCTTATATAGATCCTCTCCAGTTGAACATTTCAAGTAAAGGAATTCATAATTAAATCATAGTTAGAGATGAATCCGGGGAATAATTTAATTTAACTTATAACTAAATTCGCTTACAACTTAGAGAATAATAAAATTTAATTATAATTAAATTCACTTTCAACGGTAAACTTGATATGTTATAATCAAACATTAAATTATATTTATAAAATCGATTGACGAAAGCGCACACTTGCTGACAGCTAAAAGAGTTAAACCTTCCTCCGAAAACACGCCATAAAATGACAGAAAACTATGTCACGAGTTGGTTCTGAATATTGATTTGCGAGCTTTCTTGGTTTTCTAGGACCCAATTATCTTTAGTTATCTCTGCTACAATAAGCTTCAAAGAAAGACCCAAAGTTTAAAGGAAAAGGAAAAATGAGACTTGGATTTGCTTCGCGGACCTTCATCCTATGCACCCTAGTCTTCTTTTTGGTAAGATCCTATGCACCAGAAGTCATATCGATCTCTGTTGACTTGAAACTTTCTTTCCATCTCCGTATACTGATCTTGCAACTTACTTATTTTTCATCGTCTTCTTGAAATACTCTTCGTTTTGTCGTTTATTTTTGTCATTTGTTTGAAATGATTTTGGTTCCTTGGTTAATTTTCATCATCCTGTTGTTGATCTGAGAATGGTTGCTTTTATGGAAATTTGTGTATGATCTCCCTCTGGATTATTCAACTTTATTTGTCTTCCTGTTGACGTTGCAGATTCTACAAGACAGTGGAGCTAGAAAGATAGCTTCAAAATCTGGCAGGGACTTTGAACTGAAGGAAGTATCCTATGGTTTGGAAAAGCTTGCAACAGAGGGTCTTGTACTTGACAGCATTCTTCAGCTTGAAGGCGCTGATATAGAAGTGAAGAAGAAGAAGCATGTCCATCACCACGACGAAGATGATGATGACGACGACGACGACGACGATGAAGAAGAGGATGATAAAAAGGCTAGAGTGAAGAAAGGAAAGAAAGTTGACAAAGAAAAAGACAAGAAGAAGGAGAAAGGTAAAGACAAAAAGATAACTGAAAAGGATGTGCATGCTTTTAAGCCGTCTCATGATGATCACAAACACCTGGACCTTGAACTAAATGTGTTTTTCACCCCAAATGATTTAAAGATCGGGAAAATCATGCCCATCTACTTTTCTAAGAAGAACTCTTCAACATCTCCGAAATTTCTGACCAGAGAAGAAGCTGACCGGATTCCCTTCTCATCAAAGCACCTATCATCCCTTCTCAAATTCTTTTCCATCCCAAAACATTCACCCCAAGCCAAGGCCATGAAGTATACACTCAAACAATGTGAATATGAAAACATGGAAGGAGAGACCAAGTTCTGTGCCACATCCCTGGAGTCCTTGTTTGATTTTGCACACTATATGTTTGGGTCCGATGCACAGTTCAAAGTTTTGACCACTGTCCATCTCACAAACTCAACAGCCCTTTTACAGAACTACACAATCTCAGAAGTGAAAGTAATTTCAGTTCCAAACGTTATAGGGTGTCACCCTATGCCTTACCCTTATGCAGTTTTTTACTGCCACAGCCAGCAGAGTGACACCAATCTCTACGAGGTGTTGGTAGAAGGTGAGAATGGAGAAAGAGTTCAAGCTGCAGCTATTTGCCACATGGACACCTCGAAGTGGGACCGAGACCACGTGTCTTTTCGTGTGCTCAAAGTTGAGCCTGGAACCTCCCCTGTGTGTCATTTCTTTCCTCCTGATAACCTAGTCTGGGTACCTTTGTCCGTGGCTCCATAACTAGTTCTTACGCTCTCATCAAAGCGTGTTCTGTTTCTGTGTACCAAACTGTGCCAGGTTATAACATTAGTTCTAAACCTGGTGTACTTGGAAAACGTGTGTGTAGATGGACAAACTATGTATGTATGTTAACGAGGATGTTATTTTGGTGTGCTTTAGAATAGTACGTTGAAGTAATGTAATCATTATCTCCTGTGTATGCACGTTCTGTATATATTTGTTTTAGCATGTTTGTTATTCTGCTCTGATAACGATACTCTACATAAATTTCGCTTTTGCTGCTTCTGCCTCCAATACTCTTAACCTGTATACCCTTTGTAAGGTAAGAAGAAATCTCTTTAAAATCTAATTTAGAAAATTTAGAATGAAGAATCTACATTTCAGATTAATCTTTATGTAATAAAAACAGGTGTGTGATAATATTATTGAAGTGTAGGAAGAGAAGGTCGTAAAGAATATCTGTCACATGTTTGTGGCCATTTATATTGGGCCATGTTTTTGGTAGCACTTGGTTTGTGTCAATATTATCTTGGGCCAAAGATTCTTTAGGTTACGGATATTGAATGTAACTGAAGATTTATAGAGTACTATTCCAACTCTCATGAACACTTATCCCTCACCAAGGGTCATAAAATACAGATCAGAGCACCTAAACAGCGTTGATTTTAATGTAAAAAGTACGTAACATGCTGTACCAGCAACAACCAATTTTTTTAAAATCGGATAGTCACCGAACCCGGTTATGATATGAATTTAGATTTAATGATTTAATAGATCTAATTAAATTTAATAAAATAATATTTATAATATAATAAATATATAATAAAATTTATTGGTAAAATTTTTTATTTACAAAACAGTAAGGATTATTTGTTATGATTACGTTAAGTTAAAATTAAAATTATAAATATAAAATGAATAGTTATTCTAATAAGATAAAAATATAATAAAATAATTATTCTTTAAAATGAATGTAATTAATATAATATAAAAAAGTTAAGATATATTATATTTTTTATAAAAAAAAGTTATATTAAAAAAATATTCTATTTTTTTATCAAAATCAATTAAAAAAAACTCAATAAATTTTATCAAATTTTATATTTTTTTAATTTAATGAAAATCTGATTATTAAAAAATAACCTCCTAATCTCCCGTCTAATTTTTTTGTTTGAATTATTAAATCAAGCTATCTAGTCCCATTTTCAAATAAATAAGTACAATATTTATTTGAAGATGGTGTGTGATATGCTATTATAAGATTTTTATGTTAATTTCGTTTTCAACTATACATGAATGAAAAACGTCTAATTTAAAGAATGAATGTAATTTATTTATTTCCATAAGACATGTTTGAGTAATTTATTGTTGATAAATTATTAAGCAACATAAGTAATATAAGCAAATAACCAATCTTTGATTAATAAGTAATGAAATGGCATTTATTATAATCATATTTTTGTTAAACAAAATTGTCTTTTAAATTAAAACACACAATGCGTTATTGCATTAAAAATGCTACGAATTAGATATAAAAGACAAAAATGGTATCAACGTGAATGTGAATGATATATATATGTGTGTGAGAGACATTCAATATATAGAATGGGTAATTATTATTTGAGGGACTTGGTTGGTTTGCTTTTAATTTTATTTTTTATTCAATAATTATATATTTTTTATAAATAATAAAAGATAAAATAACTTTGAAAAAGATAATTCTCTTTGTACGAGAAAGAGGAGGATAATGGTAGACAAAATAGCCTAATTAAAAATTATAAAAAATATTTTTTGCATAACAATATAAAAATACTATTTATTAAATTTGTTAAGCAATATTACGTTAATATGAAAGATAGTCAGACGAATTTTAAGTAGTTTTTTTTTTAAATAAAAACCATAAAATGTTTAGAACTTAATTTGAGGAGACATTGATGATCAACCCGTTGCATCTTTTCCAGGTAAAACATAATCCCTGATTCTTACACAAAAAAAAAGTTTTTTAATTTTTTTATATATAATAAAAATATTATATAAAATATATAATAAAATAAGATAATGTGATAAAAAGATAAAAACACATAGATATATTAGCGCGTTGTATTTACCCTAATCATCGTTATATAAATAAAAAAACTCTTTATAATTTTTTTTATAGTTTGATCAAATATTTTATCATTTCTTAAATAAAAATAATTTTATTATTCAATAAATCATAAATAAATAATCACACACTTTTACATTAATTTTTTTATTATAATAATTTCTTAAAACTAATAACTTCCCACCAACCTTAGGTTAACTAGTTAAATATTTTAATAATATATATGGCATAATATTTTATTTTATATATTTAAATATATTATAAAATAAATTAATATTATATAATATCAAAATGTTAAGGACATCTCTAATTAGTTACTTCTTATATCATGATGAAATGTAAAATATAATTTATGAAATGTAAAATATAAATTGTTGCGTTATATAAGTAACATCTTTTTTATTTTATTTTAATAATTTTTAAATAATTTACTCTCATCATTTATCATGTCTTGTCTATTTTCTAAAATTTTTAATGAATCAATGTAAAAAAAACTAATGACATGCAATTCTCAATAACAAATTTGTTACCTGAAAATGTAAAAAAATAAAATCATAGTATCGCGTCATTTTTTTTAAATTTAAGATTGATTTTTCTTAATAATTTTTGAAAGATTCATTTTCACTTTTTCTCTTATAATTTACTTATATTTTTAGTTATTTTTAGGAACATATAGAATAAAACGAATAATTTTTTACTTTAAAAGATGTAAGTCAAAGTTCATCCTCTTTCTTATTATTATTATTTCATATTTATTTTTATTTATTTGTTTTTTTAAGTTGTTTAATAAAGCAATTAACAAAATAATTTAAACAATTTATCATATTATTAAAATTTCTCTAATTGAAAGTTATTTGAAGCGATTAATATTTCATTTAAACATTTTAATAAATAATTGTTATTGGAGATGTGGTAATTGTTTGATTAAGCAATTATATAAAAAAAATCAAATAATTTCATATAAGATTTTTCTAATAAAAAATTATTTAAAATAATTAATATTTTATTTAAAAATTTCAATAAACAACTTTTATTATAAATGTTATTATCCTAAGGTTTAAATTTTGTTGAATAAAAAATTACATAAAATAATTAATATTATATTTAAACATTTTATCAACAACTCAAAGTTTAATTAAAATGGTCTTCAGATGATATTTTATACTTTGTTGTCAAACAGTCACTTTAAATGAAATATGGAAAGCCTCATAATCCTTCTCACGTAAAGTCTTCTTGGATCCATAGTTTAACTGTCCATAACAAAAATATGGGTGGGTGCAGATTTGAAGAAAAAATTATGTTTGATTAAGTGTTTTATGTTGATTTAAGAAAAAAGTATATGGTAACTTTATCTTTCTCTTCTTATATGACAAAAAAATGCATAAAAAATTATTTATATCATGTTTATTATTTATATTATTCTTAAATATATTATTTCATTTCATTAATTTTTATCTATAATATGTAATATTATATTTTTTATTTTTTTTTAATAATTACATGTTTATATTATATATATATATATATAAGTTTATATTTTATTTTTTTTATTAATATACAAACTTATTTTTTACTATGTGTTATTTTTAGTTATTTATATTCAATTTGATTTATATTTAATTTTTATTTTAAATTAAACTTAGGTTAATATATATATATATATATATATATATATATATATATATATATATATAACTATGTAATCATGTTTTGAATATAATTTTACAAATAAAATATTTGAATTATAAAATTTTGAAAACATCTAATCGATTAAATAAATTTGAATAATCGATTATATAATATAAGTAATAGTTTATATTAAAGAAATTATTATATTTATTATATTAAAATTAAAATTATATTTAAATATAAAATTATATTTATAATATGTAATTGCTTTATTTTTTATTATAAATTATTTCATTATAATTTATTTTTTAATTGGTACTTGAAATAAAAATTCATAATATGTAATTAATAATTATATTTTTATATTTTATATATATAATATTCTTAATATATTTTACAATTGTATGTAAAATATAAATGATTTTATTTTAATTAAATTATACCACAGTTTTAATTTATATTTATTTTGTTTTTTAATCAATGCAGAGTCCTTTTATTATTACATATATTTTTTTATTTAATTACATCAATATCATTTTTTATTATTTTTCTTCTTATTTATTTTTATATTTTATTATTATCTTTCTATCCAAATACCTTCATGTAAAATATAGAATGATTTGCTTTTTTATAACATCTTTAAACAAAGTTTTTAATAAAAATTATTTAAGAATAAAATTAAATATTTCATTAGGAGTTCTATTTAAATAAATTTCTTAACTTTTAAGTCACTCATGAAATTCATAATAAAATATTTACCTTTAATCTTAAACCACTCTTAATAAAGTGTGTCATTAGGAGTTTAATACATTCTACAAATCTTAATTAAAATGATGTTCAAGATATTTTATACTTGGTTGTCAAACGGTCCAAAGCCTCGGAACCCTTCCCACATAAAGTGTGTCGTTGTTAGGTGGTGACTTCTTCTAACCTTTGAATTCTTGATATATGAATAGTTGTGAGTTGTCTCATTAACGACGTGCTCGTTTCCAATAACAAATTTCAAACAAATGAAAACATATGCATCAACGTTACATTAATATCTCATGCTAGTGTCATCGTATCGGGTTTAAGTACCTGTTTGGTTCTTGCATATGAGTTTCAATCCTTTTACAAAATTATCCTAACAACAAATAATTTTGTAAACAAAATACTATTGAATTGAATTTTAAATAAAAATCATGAAAATCTAATTTAAATATTTTTGATAGTGAATTGTATATTACATAAGCAGTTATCATTTAAATATTTAAAAACTAATTTGTTTTTTCAATTAAACGTAAGTAACCCTTTGCATCTTTGACAATCACTATCAAGTGTATCGTTACTAGCAAACAAATATTTCTAAGCAAATTATAATTTTTTTCAATAAATACTATAGTTAAAATAAAAATCATAAATGAGTTAAAAAAAATAAAACGTTGTTTTAGAGTATAAATTACCCATCTTTTAGCATAAAAAAATTCCTCTCATCAATCTTAGAAATAATATATTTTTAAAAAATAAAAAATTATATATAAAATTCAATAATAAAAAATAAATTCCTCCAACATAATACAGTTGTTTTATTTGTTTTTCTTAATTATTTTTTTATTCTTGTCTTCCTCTATTTACTTTTTATTATTTATTATTTTTTTATTTTCGTGTTTTTGTTTTTTCTTTCTTTTTTTCTTCTATGATTCATCGTATTCTCTTAATTTAAAATATGATAAAATAAATATTTTATTATTTTAACAAAATATTTAAATAATAAAAAAATATTATTATATTTAAAAAAATACTAAATTTTATTTAGAAAAATAAGGAAAAAAGAAAGAGAAAAATAAAAGACTTGAGATTGAAAAGAGAAAAAACAAGGAACGGACGAACAGCTCAATCTTAATAATTATTTTCAATTCCGTTTTTATTACAAATATTATAAAATAAAATAAATTATTCGTTGAACTTACTACTTTTCGTTTTTGAAAAAGTAACTTCCTACTAAGCATCAAATACCCTCTTTACTCATTTTTTATAAACAATAAATGTTATATGTATGCATTGCCATAAATGTGGTTGGTTAAGTAGTTTTCTTTCCATGGGTGCATGTATATCATGAAATCCTGTTTTTTTTTTTTGTGCTTTTAATTTTAATTTTTATTACAGTTGGTGGACCGATGGGAATAACACTTCCTTAATTGTACTTTTTACTGGCAATTTGAGAAATTATAAATAGAGGTTGTTTCAGAATATTGCTGTTAAGATCTTCAACTTTTTGAAATTAATAGAATCTTTTATTATCATGTTCTGAAGTGAAAACCAAACAAATATATATATTATTTATTATTTATCTTTTATCTTATTTCTTATTTCTCACTATATATTCGTCCACTCTCTCAGTATACGGTGTTTCGATCACGTATTAGTATCTTTGTAGTCCTTTTACAGAGAATTTGTAGTCACAATGAAGAACTCAATGGTATCAGAAGAAAACATCGATCTTACACTTACTCTCTCGCTCGGTCCCGCTCCTCCTGTTTCCCATCCTCCAACTCACCCTCCTGAAACTAACCTTTCCGTAATGGACATGTCAATGCTTTTCCCTGATCCTAACCCTAATCCTCTCTTTGCATCATCCTCCAACAATAACAACATCACTAACCTTTCGTTAGTGTCGTCGTCTTCCATCGACACCGACAATCCTCCTAATGCGGACGAAGATATTTCCACCGCTGCGCCCTCTACTCATCGTTATCGTCGCCGGCCATCTAACCGGCGAAGCAGAGGAGAAGACGAAACCATCCCTCCACCATTCCCTTGGGCGACGGATCGGCAAGCCACCATCCACTGCCGACAATATCTCTTGGAGAACAACATTTGCACCATCACAGGGACTGTTCACTGCAGGACGTGCGAGCAGGAGTTCCAGTTGAGTCTGGATCTCGAGGAGAAAGCGGCTGAGTTACGCAGATTCATTCAGAGAAGAAAAGATAGAATGCATGATAGAGCGCCGGCGGCATGGCTGAATCCGGTGTTCCCAAAATGCGCCCTTTGCGGCCAAGAAAACAGCATTCGACCTGTGATTGCGGAAGACAAGAAGCAAATTAACTGGTTGTTCTTATTGCTTGGCCAAATGCTGGGTTGCTGCACTCTGGATCATCTCAAACATTTCTGCAAGTTCAACGGCAGCCATCGAACCGGTGCCAAAGATCGTCTTCTTTATCTCACCTACATGAAGCTCGCCGAACAGCTTCAACCTCAATGGTTTGATTCTTAATCTACCCATCTTTTGTTCTATCTCATGTAACTCCTTTTTCACTGATTTTTAAATTATTCAGTTTATAAACTGATTTGATGAATTTCTTTACTAGTTAAACAATTACTCAGGACTAGAAGTATGTGTATCTTATTTAGTCATTTATACATCTCTTCACAAAAAAAAAAAAAAGTAGAAATTTCCGAGATTCAAAATGTTATTTAAGATGGTAATATATATATAGAATTGTTCATACATTTTGAATAATTTTTTTGTATTTATTTATTTAATTAGATATTATTTATACACAAAATTTGATTATAGAAAATAAAATTCTCTTAAATGAAGTAATTATTTTTTTCTTCTCTCCACTTTTTTCCCTCCCCATTCATTGATTTTTTTCTCTCTTCTTATTTATTCTTTATTATTTTAATTAAAAATACTATAATAAAATGTGGTAAAATATGATAATATTTTTAAAAATAAATATTAAAATAAAAAATAATTTTATTGGTTTCAGTAAAATATAGTTTCTCGTAAAATTTTATATATTTTCTATTATATATCAATTATGCAGTTGAATTGAATAATTTTTATTGAATTTAAAATTCATAAATTTTGTATTTAACTAATTTTAATTAAATATATTAAATAAAAATCAATTTTAAAAAGTTGTTGTCAAATTTTAATATAGTATTTTAATTAAAAGAATAATATCAAATGGAAAAGGAGAAAAATAAATAAAAGAATGAATAAAAAATATATATTTTATATGAGAAAAGTTTATTTCTCATGTGTATAACAGCGATCAATTTATAAATAAATTAATAAAAATATATTATTTGAATAGATTTTTAATATATATATATATATATATATATATATATATATATATATATATATATGAATAATATGCAATTTACTTTTATTAAGATTAGTTTTTTAATATAATATATTCTATGAATAATTCGCAAATTATATTAAAATAAATTTTAAAAAATGGGTAGAATAAATAAGTAACTTTTATAAAAGCTGGTGAGAAGCGTTCAGACGTATGGTAGTTGCATGCAATATTTTTATTTTTTTTATCGTGACAAAAACAAATTTCTAAAGTCAATTAATAATGGGTGACTAAGGATTTTTTTATCGTAGAGTTTAATTTATAAAAATTAATTGTTATGAAATAAAGTAATCTATATAAGATAAATTTCACATTAAGAATGGGGTATTTTATCAGAGTTTTATTATAACAATTTGAAAAAAATAATAATCAACTAATTTCAAACTGGAGCATCAACAATTTATGAACATATGAAAGGAAGTTTTGAATAACAATTATTTAAAAATAAAATTAAATGTTTTACTGTAAGTCTCATAATTAAATTATTTAAAATTTGATTAAAATTATTTATTTAAATAATTTTATAACTTTTAAACACCTCAATATAAAACATATAATAAAATATTTATTTTATTTCTAAATTACTTTTAAATAACTCTTAATAACAACGTGTTCTTATAATCTTCTATGCGGGTTATAGCTGAAAATTTATTTTATGGTTAGGGTGAACATTGTATTATTATTTTTATATATATATATATATATATATATATATATATATATATATATATATATATATATATATATATATAAAAAAAACATACTTTATTCTTTCGTCTTGACACTGTATCTTTTCCACAAACGCACCTTAACCATGGTTGAAGATAAGCCTTATATGTTTTACGATTATGTTAGATGTCATCCATATATTTCTTTTCCACAAACGCACCTTAACCATGGTTCAAGATAAGCCTAAAGGTAGTTTTTTATTTTAAATTTCACAAAAAAAAAAAATTGGATAATTGGGGTTGACGACGTTCGTTGGTTAAAAAATAACTAGCAAAATACGTTGAATATAATTTTAACGGTTGGTTAAAAAATACTAGTAAAATTTTAACTTAGTATCTTAGAATTAAATATTCATACTTCAATTACTAAGTTATTCAGAATTTCTAATAAAAATTTACAGATAAATTATATCTATATATAAATAAATGTATATATATATATATATATATATATATATATATATATATATATATATATATATATATATATATATATATATATATATATATATATATATATAAATATATGAATACAAATATATTAATATATTTTGATATATTTATATGTTAGATGTGAGCGAATTCTAAGATAAAAATGAAATTGACTCTCGTTTAAGTAGAAATATATAAAAACTCCTAAAAATTTACTCGTTCAAGCGAAAATATCTTGCTTGAACGAAAATTAGTATTTTTAGCTTGAACAAATATGTCGCTTAAGTAAATGACGCATTTTCCAAATTTATTTTATATCATTATATAATTAAATTATAAATATTATATTCTCTCATTAAATTACAAACGAGATATAAAAAGACTCACTCACAAATTTAACATCAATTTAAAAAACTTACTCAACATACACTCTCATCAAAAATTCAATTTTTGTAAAGTTTTTCTTGTGTAGTTAAGATATTCTTTTGTAATGGAAAATTTGGAAATTATGACTCAGACTTTCATGACTAAAAATCTAAAATAATAATAATAATAAAAAAAATCTTATTCTAATTCTCAATTTGTGGAGCTCAACAAATCCTGTTTTGAAAAAATATTAATGGACTCATGTTCCACCTGGATTTGACTTCAGCCTATATCCTGTATCATCATAAACGACACCCTTTGGTTTCGTTTCAAATCTTGAAATACAAAAGGTTTGGAAAATCTAGTACTTACCTCATTGATTCTTGGGTTGTCTCATACTTATACATAACTAGATGTTTTGTGTTATTGTTAGTGGGAAATCGATAAAGGGATCGAGAAACAAATGGGAGCAAAAATCGAGAACCATTTTGATTGAGTTAAAGACTGATAAATCGAAAGATAATTGGAAAATACGTTCGACGACCATATGACAATATAAGCGAGAATTAGAATCGAGAATCGAAGGAAGAATATTTAATATCCGTTAGTGAATGAAATCGAATTATGTAATGTTAAGGTTAAGAGAAATCAAAGGCAAGTCAAACGTTCTCGAGATTCCGAAATCAACATCGGGGGAAAGGTTAACCCATGTATCGAAATCTCGGCTAAGTTATAAAGAGAGGAACAGTTGACGTGCACATCGAACATGGTAAGCGGTGGCAAAGGTCGAAGGTCAAGGGAGCAGTTACCTCATGTATAGGAACGTGAATGCAGTTTCTAAACCGTAGAGCTAGGAGTAAAACTACAAAAGACGTGCACGCAGAACGTGGTAGCAGTTTTCATTAACTGCTCCTAAGAGATTACTTGAAAAAAGGCTCTATAAATAAAGTGAAAGATGAAGGGAAAGGGAGGGTGGAAATTGACAGAGAGAGCAGAAACAAATAGTGAGAAGTTTACCGGAGAACGACGAACATCATGAAGTTTCTGGCGATCTGGATTTCCATGTTCATTGATTTCCTTTACCGTTTTCTTTATTTTCCCTGGTAATTTATTTTGATGCAGTTTATGTTTAGCAACTTTAAGTTTCTGCATTTTCGATTCCTTGTCATTTCTCTTTAATGAAAGTTAAGTTTCTGCGTTTAAGTTCATTGTCATTTATATTAACGTAATTTCGATTTCCTGCTATTCACTGTAATCTCGATTTTCTGTTATTTACATTTCTGTAATTTCGATTTCCTGTTATTTATATTTCCGCAATTTCGATGCTTTGCCATTTACACTTAATGCAAATTTGAGGTTTCCGCATTTTTCATTCCTTCGCAGTTTTACATTCGGTATTGCTCTTCGATTTGACATTTTACTGATTTCTTTATTTCGAGTAATTTGAATAAAAAATACCAAAAATTGCACTTGTGATTTGCACTTTAAGTAGCGATGTTTGCATCCCAAAGATTCTCGATTCCCATGCATTTTTTCGATTGAAAACTAGTTGCTAGCCTAAATAAAAAGAATCTACATGGTTGGAATTTGGTTAGAACAAAATCCCCTAGAAATCGAAATCGATCAAAATTCTACCAGAAACAAATTGGCGCGCCAGGTAGGGGAATTTGTGTCGAAAAACATAAAATTGGTTAGTTCGAAAGTGTATGAGATTAAGAAGTGGGCGAGTTATAAGAATGAGTCAAAACCCACCAAATAACCAGAGTAACAATGAGGGTCTAAATGGTTCACATCCACCAAACACTGAGGGGCAAGGACATAATGGAAATATGCCTGTAATATCGACGACTGTGAGTATGTCGATACCTGTGAGTAATGAACAAAGTTCAGGCATATTAGCAAACACTCAAGTAGGATCTAGTACTGTGATGGGGAACCCCATAACAACATATGCAGGGCCATATATGAGCGTAAGGCCACCTGGTTTTTCGCCTAATAATATGAATGGGGCTGGTACTTCTTCGATACAACGAAACTCGAGATTTAACCTAGGAATGCCTCAGAACTTAGGTACCTTTCAAATGTCGCCGCCTCCCCCAAGAGAGGGGGCGCGGTCGGAGCGACGCGATGGTTTTTCGACTCTTCTTGATTTTCGCATTTTTTATTGGTGGTTACAACACCTTTAGGCTGTCCGATAACCGGGCTAACCTAGGGGCGAGGTTTTCAAAAAGTGTCCTTGATTTGTCCGATAACCGGGCTAACCCAAGGACTTATTTATTTTGGGTTCTATGGAGTCGCCACCGATATTTTTACCATAAATATCGGAAAAGGGGTTTAAAAAGGCGTTGGTTTTCGAAAACCAACCTTGGTCATTAGAACCAGAGTTGGGTAAGGGAGTTAGTTACGTGTAAAGGAAGTATTAGTTCCTTTACGACGCCCCTTTCGGGTTCCCTATGATAGGCCGGCTATTTATGAATAATTAAACTTGGAAAATTGCGCTTTTACCCTTTTTATTATGCGGAATTTAAATATATGACTACATGGCCCTAGCTTCTATTGCGTAATTTAAATGAAAGCGGTAAAATAAAGAAAGA